AAACACACCTGAACAAGCTAATCAATGTCTTCAGGATTACTAAGGCTATAGGCAGGTGAGTTTTGTTTTCAGGGTTGGAGCTGAACTCTGCAGGACTGCGGCTTTCTAGGACCGAACTTGCCTACCCCTGGTTTAGGTAAACCATTGGTGTGCACTTGGTATATAGTACAGCAAGCTTTACTGTATTTCAAAGACGCCTGTGCATACTTCTTGAAGTTGTAGATATCCATAATAACAAAAACATTTACTAAACTTCTAGAATAATCTATGTAAAACTAACTTATATGTTGTTTCTGTGTTACTATATAAATCATAGAGATGGAAAGATATGAAATAACCCACATTTCTGTTTTTGTGGATGAGGCTGGGTTCAATCTAGCCAAAGGCATGAGACATGGGCTGCAATCTCATTGGACACTGAACTACAACTGGCACACCAGACCAACGTGGGGGCAATATTACAATGTGTGCTGCCATTTCTGAGAATGGTACGAGCACCTATACCACATACGTCTGACACCCAACTTCTCCTGGCCTTCCTAAAGATCCTTTATAGAGACCTAATATCAGAACACGAAAGAGGTTTAGTTAGGCCACATTTGCCAGATTATTTTGTGTTCAGTCTAAGACTTTACATGTAAGAAATCTGTTAAAAATGAAAAAGCAATTGAATTTCAGTTTATATGTAACACATTTCAGTAACTATAAATTTACGGTATGAGTACAAATGTTCATATTATTTTTCTGTGTACTACAGTATTGATTTTTTTCACATAAATTTTTACCTATTGTTGAAATCTGTATTTAAAAAGCTCAGAGTCATACACAAGCATTCATCTAGACCAGGGGTGTCAAACTCAGTTCCTGGAGGGCCGCAGCCCTGCAGAGTTTAGTTTCAACCCTGCTCCAACACACATACCATAGTTTTCAAATAAGTCTAAAGGACCCGATTAGCTGCATTAGGTGTGTTTAATTAGGGTTGGAGTTCAACTCTGCAGGGCTGCGGCCCTCTAGGAATTGAGTTTGACACCCCTGATCTAGACAAAACTGACATTCTTGTATAGTATGCTATCACATTGTCAACAAATTTGTTTATGAAATTTGAAACATATGCTGAAAAATACATTTTTACCAGCACGGCTCACACAATGACAAAATACATTTTCATTTTGGTGGCATTGGCCACAATAACTGACAAAATAACTAGGTTTTGAAGCATGAATTAACTGTTTTGGATGAGCTACTATGTTTTGCAGAAATGCAATTAAGTGGTGATGTTCCAGCAAACAGCTGTGACAATTGCACTTACAGTTTAGTCAAAAATGAAAAAGCTAATGATGAGCCAAAGCGATTGAGGGAAAAAAAACTATAATACATATGGTTTATGGAAAATGATATGCCTTGAGTTGTTTAACTTTAAGCACTGTGCATACTGTAAAATGTGCTCTGATGAAAATACATGTGAAATATATTAGGTCATTCAAACTGGTCCATGCTATTCTTTCTAAATATAACACTAAACTTAGTTTAAATCAGTAAAAACAATGAAGACTCCCTCCATGATATAAATATGAATACCCAGTGTGATGTCTTTAAGAGTACTAAAGTACTTTGTACATCAGAGAGAGGGAATTTCATAGAAACAGATAATAGTATTGCAAAAATAGAACACATCTTTGACCTCCTTTTTGTCCATCATTCCTTTATGACGAAGAGGCTTGTCAAAACCTACTTCTTATTCTCTTTATCTCTTAGTCCAACACGAAACCTTTGGTATGATTTTGATTGTTGATAAAAAGGCAGTCTTCATGACTTCTACAACAGAAATATTAAAAAGTGAACTAAGGCAGATAGTTAGATATGATGCCATATGAAATGTAATGCTATTACAAGGCGGCCATAGCAAAACTAGCTAGATATCATCTGTTTCATGCAAAATAGCCTCTGATAGTGCTGTAAAAATAACTCATTACTTTGCCTGACAGTGTTGTCCCAACAGGAGCGTCGGACAGGGGGGTAATAGTGGAACTGAGTAACAGGGGCCCTTGGCGAGAGGGGGAGGCATAATGATATACTGATTATTATTATTAACATGATTGATGAGGTGTTGTGTTGTGAGGGGCCCACCCCTTTGATTGTGTGACCGGGGCCCAACATTTGGTGCAATGATATACTGATAATCTATAACATTAACATGACAAAATTAAATAGATATATAGTTATATACTATGCTACTAGGAATAATATTCGCAAGACTCAATTTTATAACTGTAAAAAGGGAAATGTTCCTTATTTGTCTAGCAGCTTGTGCCCTCCCATGTTAGATGTCCCCTAATCAAAAAGTACAATTGTTTGGTCTTGTAGTCTGGCGCTTGGCAAGACTTTAGCTATTAAAACTGCTATATTGCACCAAATAAACAGTTGCAATTAGCTTGAGACATGGCTGTGACAACCTGTTTGATGTGCCCACTTTTAGTTGCTAAGCAATTGTGTCTCTATAAGTGCCGGTCAAAGGTGATGAATTGATGTTAAAAACATAAATAGCAATCAAAGCAGGTGGTGAGATTAATATTGTAAGTGTGAATATTCTTTTCACATTTTCTCTCTTTTTCTTGATGCTTGCACTTTATCCTTATGCTCTGGAGGAGCAAAGCGGTTCTCACAGTGTTTTTTTTTGTGTTTTTTTTACAAAAATAAGTCATAAGGGCTTTGTAAGATTTGTAAGAAACCTCTACCAAGGGTTTGTTACTGTTTTTCATAAGATCTTGAGATCTGTCTGTCATAAGAAGCAAAAGTGATTGTGATCTAGCAAGAGCACCACTTCTTTAATGCTTTATGAATACAGCTCCAGGATTGGTTAAATGATTTATAAAGCTCTAACAATACAAGTCACTTGGCACCTTTCACTTATTGAATTATTAATGAAACTGAAATTGAACATTTAAGATTGCTGCCTGTAATGAATGGTCCATATTTGGGTCTTTTTTTCTCCAAAGTCTATTAAAGGATTAGCGGGCAAATAGCAGTCTGAAATGTTATTAAGTATTTATAAACACTGAGAACTGACTGAATTGGGGCAACACAGCTAGATCAACCATTGTAATGAGTGAATTGGAAGCTCTGTAGTTTTATTGAAGGAATAATTTAGACCCGCATCAGTTATATGTTTTAATGTCATAGAAGGCAATGGTGTTTGTTAAAGAGCTCTCAAAGGAATTAAATAAATGCATTTGGTGTCAGTATCAACAGTCGATTGAAGGTCCTCAACTGGCCAAATTAAAACTCAAACTGTCCTCAAGTCAAAATTAAGGGAGTTAAAAATTCAAACCTTGTGCGATGAAGGGAGTTTTGTCCTCTGGGGTAGGAAGGGAGTCAGGCCGAGGGGTCGGTGCAGGGGGGCGGTTCACTATTACTACAGAGCTGCTGGATGTGAGGATGGTGTCATACTCTTCCCCATCTCTACCCAGGGGAGTATAGACATTTTCACCTTCATTGTTTTGGTGTTCCTCATTAGGATCAACCAACCAAAGATTATCTGTGTAAAGAGCAAATGGATGTTGATTTCCGAAACACCAGCATTTAGATGTAAATAATGAGGGACTGAATTCAAGTACAAAGTTTAATATATATATACAACAGATCCCATGAGTGAGTCATTGAATGATTCACTAAACCAATTCATTCAAAACACAGATTGGTTACACTTTATTTTAAGGTGTCCTTGTTACAGTGTAATTTTACATTTAAATACTGAGTAATATTAATTTACTACATGCACTTACTATATGGTTAGGGTTAGGATTAGGGTTTGGTTTAGGGTCACTTGCATGCAATTATGCATAATTAATTGTTATTATAATAGTAAGTACATGTAACATGTGTAACAAGGACACCTTAAAATAAAGTGTTACCCACAGATTAATTTCAGTATATAATAAATAGTGCTTCTCAATCAGAAGGCTGAATCCAAGTGAGGTTAAGTTCAGTCCTTCTAAGGCTTCTAGGCTAGACTCCTTCTCAGCATTGACCGCTAGAATTAAACAGTCTAGTAAGTAATATCAGCCATTTATATTAATGGTATTCAGAGATGAAGCCAGTAATACTAATGTTGTGATATTAGAATAACAAATCATTTTAGATGCCATAGTTTACACAATACACAGTAGTGTTCATTTAGATAAAACAGATTTTCTTATATAGTACAATAAGCAGTTAGTTTTAACAAAAAGTAGAACAAAAATGAAAATTGTATATAAACTATTACCAGGGTTGACACAAACATACCTGCTCTTCCCATCAACTCATATACACCGGTGTCAATGTTGCCATCATTGTCATCAAGTATCTATGAGAACATTATTAATAACAATTTAATAACAAATTAATGATTAATGATCATTATCAAATTTATGATAATGATAATTAATAATGACAAGACTTTTAAAGAGCATATATGTGACTGAAAAGGAATTGATTTGTAAATGCCACAAAGTTGGTCAACAGCAAAGCGATGGTTGTTGTGGAAACCACTGACATCCAGTTGTGTGGGGGCTGTTATTATACAGCTAACAATGGGCTTTTTCTAAACCAATTTTACTCCATTCAAATAATAAATACAAAATGATGAAAGTAGGCACACTACAAAGTGTTCACTTTAGTGTGATGCATACTTAATTCTGACTGCCTCTCTCTGTGTTCTGTTCCTTAGCAACCTGATACCATTCACTTGTAATAATAGCTTCTACTTCTTCCCCTTCAATATTGATTACGCACATTATGCATTCAGTGTTATGAATATATTCATTAGAGCAGAAAGGGAGAATTAACAGATAGACAAGACAAGCTAATTACGCATCACATGTTGAGGGGCTGTGAGAGACAGCTGCTTTGATGTTGGACATGAGCGTAACATCATTTTATCCAAATGTGCTCTCTTGTTGTGATGAATAATTCAAATATGTTTGTGCTGTCAGAGAAAGAATCTGACACATAAGTGGACTGACTGACAGACAAGTAATAATAATAATAACAACAACAACAACAACAACAAGATAATAGGAGAATGTTAAGACAACAATAGAAAATGAATGTGATTTTTATTATTATTTATATTATTATTTATTTATATATTTATTTATTGTGATGCTATGTAGAAAATGTTATTTGAGCTTGATTTTTCATTAATAAAGGAGCAAATATCAAGCGTAGCATTAGTTCTGGCAGGTCACGTTAGTCAAGCTCGTGTCAGCTGACTCTCAGCTGATCCATGTCTACCTATAGGGATGCGACATCTATCACAGCACCCATATATAAGGTCCTTCAGTATTATCAGCAGCTTTCGCGTTGCTAAATAGCTAATTAAATGACAAAGTTGGCAGGCAAACCCTATCATCTCATTAGAAATTGTGCAATTGGGAATTTAGCCAGAGGTATTCGTTCCCCCCATGGACTTCCCCTCAGATTTATTCAAGTTTGTGAACTTCAAATGCGAATTCGTCACATTGATCATAAGCTGCCTGATTGGATTTAGCATTGCTTCTAGCGCTTCTAGCATCGTTGTATTATTGACATGGACTCCATGAGTTATACTAATGTGACTGACTCAAGAACAAGTTTAGATGGGATCTGCACTCCTCACATGAAGTATATCAAGAGATCAAGCATCCATGTCACAGCTGGCATTGTTTCACTCTCCATTAATCTCTGAATGTCTTCACAAGCTAAGATAAGTTCCTTTTTAATGCTCTCAGGTTATTGGCAATATGCTTGTTGCTAAGGCTATCCACTTTGCTTAGGCTTATTAGTCATTTTTCAGTGAGGTGACTGAGTTAGCATTGCTTCTAGCATCGTTGTATTATTGACATGGACTCCATGAGTTATACTAATGTGACTGACTCAAGAACAAGTTTAGATGGGATCTGCACTCCTCACATGAAGTATATCAAGAGATCAAGCATCCATGTCACAGCTGGCATTGTTTCACTCTCCATTAATCTCTGAATGTCTTCACAAGCTAAGATAAGTTCCTTTTTAATGCTCTCAGGTTATTGGCAATATGCTTGTTGCTAAGGCTATCCACTTTGCTTAGGCTTATTAGTCATTTTTCAGTAAAATGCTCGTGCTAGGCTAAATGCATTGTAAGAGTTGTTGTTCAGTTGAAGTTAGCTCAGCGTGATTCTGTTCGAGTATCTGACAAGCCTGTTCTATTTAGTTGTATCAGAATCAGAATCAGAATCTGATTCTGATTCTGATTCAGTTGAAGTTAGCTCAGCATGATTCTGTTCAAGTATCTGACAAGCCTGTTCTATTTAGTTGTATTGGAAACACGCTTATTCTTAAAACTGTATAGTGTATTAGGAACGTGCTTGTTCTTAAAGCTATAGTTGTATTGGGAATGTGCTTGTTCTTAGGCTCTAGTTGTATTAGGAACATACTTGTTCTTAAAGCTGTAGTTTTATTAGGAACATGCTTGTTCTTTAAGCTGTGATTGTATCGGGGAAATGCTTGTTCTTAGGGCTTCTGGTTCTGTTGGAAACATGCTTTTTCTAAAAGCTATCTGGTTGTTGTAGAAAATGTTGTTGTTGTTGTTGTCGTGTAAGCTTCCTAGGTATTGGCTACTGTGGCGGGAGGAGCAAACGACAGACACAGTGGGTGTGGCGTCAGGCCTCTGAGAGGCTTTTATTATAAGAAAAAAAAAACATAAAAACAGGGAATAAAGTGTCTAACGGGTAAATGGTGTTCAAAATAAACAGGGGATCTGGTGTCCTCGTCGTGCTGCGGGGTTCGTGAAGGTGGGGCAGTGTTCGGGAAAGGAAGGGTCCAGGTAAGGGGCGGAGTCCGGAGGCCGCACGCGCTCCCCTCTTCGATCCGGGGCTCGAGGGGCGGCGGCTTCTTTTAGCGGCTTCATCCTTCTCTCTGCCCACGGCGCTTGAAGGAACTAGACGGCCCTGCATCCTGGCAGCCGTGTAATGGGTGCGGTTCTCATCCAGACCGCGGGTCCAGTAGCTCGCATCTTCGGTGGCTCGGAGATCCCTCAACGCTCCCTTCCTGAACCCACTAGGACACCAGCGTGGCTGCATGGATGTGCAGGGAGTTCTTGATTAGAACAGAACCATACCGCCAGTTCAAACTGTAAGCCAATTGTCAATCATCTTTGACGATAGTGGTCCTGACAGAAATAAAGGGTAGTTCTGGCAGGTCACGTTAGTCAAGCTCGCATCAGCCGACTCTCAGCTTATCCACGTCTGCCTATAGGGATGCAACATGGTCCTTCAGTATCATCAGCAGGTTTTGCGTTGCTCAATAGCTAATTACCCTCTTCCATCCCTAAAGGCCGTTCCACACTGAGCGCAATGTGAAAAAACGAGGCGAATCGCAGACGAACAGTGCTTTCACACTGAACGCGAAACGATTGTTCGTCTTCACCTAATTCACGCCTGCACGCTAGGTGGCTCTGACCAACAATGCATTTTTCCTCAGATATGTATCTCATACATATATGGATTTAACATCATCCACTGCTCAATATACAGCATTAAATAAATATAGCTAAATAAAGTTAGGTTCTAAGCCAGAAACACAAACTATCTATAATGCTTACAAGAAAACTTTGTAAAATATAAATAGAAGTACAATTAGCATCAAGCCAATTTATGTAATTATTAATTAATTATTAATGAAAATTGATGTAATTATTAATGTATTTGCTTAAAACCCACTTTAAACCATCATTGAGTGCTTGTAATAACTCCCGATTGTGATCTATATTTGATTTTTATTCTAGGAAGAGACATGCACTCTTTGTATGTTTAATAACGCCACACTGCTTATTGTAATAAACATCCTTTATTGTTATAAAAATACCATGAGCTCTAAACAAAACACATACAGAAAATATATCGTCATAATCATATGTCTATGTGCTTTCATATTTCATGTGTAGAAAAATGTTTCCCTCGATTTTATTAATATGGAAGATCTAGAGTGAACGCGCTCTGACTCACAACACTCGCGCACGTGGAAGAAAACGGAC